GGGGCCGGAGCCCCAGAGACGCGTCCAGCACCGGCCGGAGCGGGAAGTCGCTGTGCGGAGCGTGGGCCGGGATCGTCGCTGCCGGGGCGGCCCTGGCTCCGGGCCCGCGCTCCACGTGGCCACGCTGACCTTGCCGGGCCCTCCGTGTTCGGTGCGTTACCCCTCGCTGGAAGGCAAATGCTTTCCCGGTGGTAACTCCGTCACTCCTGTACCTCGTGTTTGCCTGGGAGCAGAGGGGCTGTGTCGGCCTCCGGAGGGGTTTGCTCCTGGCCTGTGGCACCGTGTGCTGTGCAGAGGCCCTCCCGCCTCTGTGTCCTCACATCCAAATGCTAATGGATAAACACGTCCCTTTCTTGAAAACACTCTTGCCGAGTCCTTGGCTTTACAGTGCTAACAGCTTTAGATAAATCCTTGCTGGAGATGGCTGATTTGTTGGGCTCCTGCCCTTGCGCGGGCAGCGCGAGCAGCGATTAGCAGAGCAGTGACGCGTCGCAGGTAGCGCCCGCGGGATCGGTCCTTGGGTGCCGACGGGCGCACACCAACCGCGACCCCCTGTTCCACCCGGCTGGCGAGCGGCAGCGCCGATGGCGAGGATGCCGGGACGGAGGATGTGGAGCCCGGCCGCGCCTGAGGGGACGGTGACGCCGCGGGGCCCCCGGCACCCGGAGCTGCCTTGGGGCCGGCTCCTGTCGGGCAGGGCCGGCCACTGTCCCCAGGGCGCAGAGCCTGGAGGAGACAGGGCAAGCGGCAGGAGGTGTCTCCTGGTAGCCACGTGCTCTTGGTGCCCTGGTGCCTAGGCAAGGGCCCTCGGCCCTTTATGCTCTACTCTGGCTGCGGTGGTGCCCCCCGGATGCTCCAGCACCTTTTCCTCCCGCTTGTCCCCTCTCCTGCCCTGGTGTCTTCAGGGCGGCTTGCGGGGCACGCGGAGCTGCGGAAGGGCCGGAGAGCTTCCGTGCTGGGCTGTACGAATGATCTAAATGGAACTGACATCCTGCCTATAAAACATCTGTAACACCGCACATTTAGTTATGTTCCTGGGGACTTGAGTTCATTTTGATGGGTCGTATTTTATCAGCTACTTTTCCCCCCTCTGAAAGCAAAGCTTTCTATAGAGGAGGATTTATAGAAATATATTTGCAGCACAAAAAAAGCCGTGCACATTAAGATGTTGGAGTAAAGAAGAAATAATGTCTTTTTTGGAGACCTTGGCTGATTTATCTCGTGCTTGGTGGTTTGGTATGACCTTCCTAGCTAGGAATAATATTTTTTTATTCCTCCTTTAATAACAACAGTTATGTCAGTACCAATGTCTTGCACTTCCTCAGCATCTATAATGAGATGTAATGAGTGAGCCGGGGCAGGCTGCAGCACTCGTGCAAAGCGAGGCACGGGGCACTCGGCGGTGCAGCGCGCTCGGCCCGACGAGGCTTGCTCGCACGCTGCCCTTCCCTGGCAGAGCTCCGCGGGTCGTCGCTTCCCACACGGCTCCTTTCCCTTTCACTGCTAGTCGAGGACTATTGGATCCGCTGCAGAGCGACAACCGTGTTGCTTCTGTGACAACTGCTGGGTTCCCGTCCTGGCCAGGGGAAGGGGTCTCTCGCAGGTGAAGAAGGTGGCGGTGCTGGGTGAGTGCTGCAGTGCTCAGCCCTTTGTGGAGGGAGGGAAGGGGGTTAAAAGCAAACGCCGTGTTTCCTGTAGCTCTGAGCGTGTTTCCCGGGAGCGAGGTGGGAAGCTGGCCCTGCTGCAGGGGTCGGGGCTGGCGGCAGAGGGAAAGAGCACCCTGTGAAAGCGCTGCGCGCCATGCGTCAGCCGGCCTCGCTCATCAGCCCCTGATTGCCGCGTGCCTCCTATTATGTAGATGGAATTAATCAAGGCGCAGGGTTAAAGTTTTCCATTTGTTCTTTTCTGAGAAATCATCTGGAGTACAGAGCGAGAGGTAAATTGCTTTACACGTTCCTATTTCTTCCTGCAAATCTTTCTTGTTTTAGCAGAATGTTGTCTAGAGTCTTAGCCAAGAGCTCTCGTCACTGATTTCTCAGGCCTATCAGGAAAAATCAGTTGATACTAACTTAGAAGTATTTAAATTGTGTCTGCTTTCTGCACCAGAGAGGCAACAGCCTTTTTTTTTTTTTTTTTTTTTTTTTCTTTCTTTTCTTGCGTGACCTCAGTGTTCGGAGCTGGCGGAATTTATGGACTGCAGAGCTCTTAGTTCTCCTGAGCTGCCCTTTGCCTCTGCACCGGACTGTGCGGGGGGATTTTGTTAAACACTCTGTTAAAGCTCCAAATGTATTTCTTCTTTCTCCTGTAAGTGAAGAGCAGCCCTTTGACAGCCCCAGCCTTTCCAGCCCTGGGAGCAGGCTCTTTGGGCGGCGGGAGCCCCGGGAGCGGGTGCTCGGGGTGCCTGGAGCGGGTGTTTTGGGCCCGGGGAGCTGCAGACTCCAACACGGCTCTGTCCTCGGGACAGGTTCTAATTGCTGTAACTAATCAACGCGAGCCAGCTCCCTGGGAATTCCTGCCGTTGTCTCCCTGCTCCCTCTGCCTCTGCGTGTCGCTTGCTTCCATTAGCTGGCAGGCTAACCCCAGACCGGCCTTGCTCCGAAACCCAAGGCTGCCCGTTCAGTCCATTGCGTGAAACCCAAACGCTGCTGCCTCTGCCTCCTGCTGAGGCCGTCGGCATTGGGAAGAGAAGAAACGCTCCCAAAGTCAGCGGGCAAGCTCAGGGCAGGCAGGAGCGCAGGGCCCGAGCGAGCCCCTTCGTGTGTGCATGCGGCGCGGGGCTGCAATCCCGCAGTGTCTGCAGCCAGCAATGGGGCTGATTTTCCCCGCTCCGGATGCGCTTCCTCGCACGGATTAGGAGGTTCCTCGCTGGTGCAGGGTCGGGGAGGCGGCTGCAGCCCCGCTCAGCCCCTGGGGAGCACGCAGGGACGTGGCGGGGGGCGCGCAGGGGCACGGTCTGTGCCCTCCCGCTTTGCGGTGCACAGGAGTTAGCAGCTCCCACTGCCTGCTGCCTGCTCCCGGTCGGCTTTTCGTTGCCTTTTCTTCTATTATTACTATTAATTAATTATTTATCTTGTTAATAGCCTTTTGGAACTTGCTAGAGGCCAAAAAAAAATGGGGAATTCTTGTTTGTGGTTCATGTTCTGCCAAAGCAGCCTAGCAATTTAGTTAACAAGATCACTTTCCATATTGCATGAGTTATTGTTGTTTTTAATTGGCTGTAATGGTGTAGTTAGAGCATTCAGCACAACGGGACATAAAATGCAATTCCGCGTGCGCACGGCAGATGATCCTTCCCATTGGAAAGTGGTCGGGAAGGGTGCGGAGCGCTGGAATGTGGCGCTGTGGACGCACTGAGGGCCCTGCGGGCACAGGGGAGAGCGGCTCCGAGCGCGGCGCTCACTGCCGCTGCTTGCAGGGCTCCCGCTGCAGCGGGACCCGGCCTGGCACCCCACGGCACCGCCGGTAGCCCGAGCCCCTCGGATCCGCCCCGTCCTTGCAAAGTGCCTGCGGGTCTGCGCTCGCTCCGCACCGTGGAAGCCCTTCTGCTCTGTAATAATCATGGCAATAACGAAGGCAGTTTCACTGAGGGGAAAAAGAAAACAGGAAGCCTAAGAATAGAACTGATGTAAATAGGCAAAGTTATGGGACACTGAAGCAGAGGCTCTGGCTGCACAGAGCTGCAATTCCCTCGTTTCCACGTTAGCTGGTTAGTTTTAGCTCTCCGAGGGTAGGGATATGGTTGAACAAGGTGGCATTGCGTTGGTGGTGTTTAGGTCCTGGGCCTGTGGTTCAGAGAACATTTACGTGACTGGCCCAAACCAGGAGCAATCCCAAGCCCATCTAACTGCAACGTGAGCCTTGCGAAAGAAGGCATAGGGATGGGAGATGCCCCCGGAAGGCCTGTTTCCAGCGGTGGGCATCGCAGCGCCCTTGGGACCCCTGTGGAAGCCGCCCTGGGGCCGAGACCCTCTCCCTCGAGAGCCCCGGGCAGGCGGCTGCAGCGGCGGCCGCGGGCCCCGGGCTCCGCTTCGTGCCCAGGAGCCGCTTTGGGAGGCGCTGCCCGGCCCGCTGCAGGCATTAACATGTTGTGCATTTGCTTGTCGTTACCAATAATTCCTTTGGCTTGAGCTATTGAAGCAAAGTAGTTCTTTCTTTTAACCTTCAATCTTGCTTCTAAAAGAAGTAGCTCTTTCTTTTTCTTTTTTTTTTTTTCCCTTGGTCAAATATAAAAATGGTGATAATTTCAAATATTGCTGCAGAATAATTGCTTTCTTCCCTCTTTTGTCTGGCAACAGAAGCTTGGCCTGATCTTAAATCAGATGCTGGCAGGCGGAGGGCTCTTGACAGCCCTGCAAAATCCTTTAGTTACAAGTTGGTTTTAGCCAATTCTTTATTTGTAAATGACAATTTTCTACAGAAAAATATATGCTTGAGCTTCAATTTGGGACTCCTAGATTGCAGCCAGGAAAAAATAATTGAATTGAATTTTAAAACTTTCCGCCCCTTTTCTCTTCTGCGCAGCTCTGGGGCCCGGCGGTGCTCGCAGAGCTCGGTGTCACCGTGGCGGGGTGGCCGGGGCGCCCCTGCGACCTCCTCCGTTTTGTCCCATTCAGTTCTCCCCAGATTCTCCCCGGATTCTCCCCGTCGCGGTGCTCCGGGCCGGACCCTTCTGTGTCTGGGGTTAAAAAGCAACGTGGCAGCTCACAGCTCTGCGCTTGGGCGCCTCCTTCACTTGCATTTGCCTTGAGAAGCACAATAAAAATCATTTATTAAAAAAAAATATCCGGGGGCTAGGGTTGTTATTGAGTGCCTTTACCCTGCCATTTTTCAGATAAAAACAAGACAAAGAAAAAAGTATCTAATCGAATAGAATCTGAATTGCTTTTGTAGAGAAATATTCTCATTAACTGGGCTAGGGATGGCTTCTGAAGAGTATTTTTTCCACATATTGTTTGAAATAATCTGGTTAAATCGTATACTTGTCTTGTAATTTCTTACAGATGGTCACAAGAACAAAGAAAATATTTGTAGGTGGATTATCGGCTAATACAGTAGTGGAAGACGTAAAGCAATACTTTGAACAGTTTGGCAAGGTAAGTTCCTGCCCAAGTGAACAATGCATATTTTGAATTCTTTCTTTCTTTCCTTCTTTCTTTTCATCTGTCTTTCTTTCTCATGCATTTTGAAAAACAAAAATCCAATGAAACCTCTGCTCAAAAGACCCCAAGTTTTTGCTTTTCCGTGTCATTTCTCAAACTATTCAAATCACTCTGGAATTCTGTTCTTTGTTGCATGTGTATGGGTACAGCACTGGCACTGTTCACCATAATCAAAAGGAGAATCATTGGGAGCTGGATCTGTGTATCTTTAGGAAGAATTTCACCCTTAGCTGAATGATTACACACTTGTCTACTCCATAAAATCAGCCTTCTGTTTTTCCCCGATTCCGGTGGTGAAAGGAGCATATAGACATGTTTGCAAGAGCTCATTAGGCTGCAAAAAAAAAAAAAAACAAAGCCTAAAGGAACCGTGTGAGTAGCAAGAGTAATAGGGAAGTCACTGGACTATCCATTCAGTTTCTCATTAGAAATGCTTAAGCCAGGTCCTTTGGGAAGGTATGCAGAAGGCTGAAGTTACAGATACGCTCCTGGGAGGGTTCGGTGCTGTCGGGGGCAGCCCGGGGCTCCCTGGGGCGCGAGCCGTGGGGCTGGCTGGGGACGGGGCGCGCTGGGCTCCCTGTTCCTGCCCTTCGTAGCGCCCTAATTGGCGATTTGGATGCATGGCTGCATGAGGACGCAGCAGGATGTCCCGGCCCGGCAGCCCCCGCTCCTCCTGCTAGTTTGCATTTCTTTTATCTGGCCCTGAAAGTCCTTGGCCGGGCACTGTTTGGTTGAGAGCTGAGGAGGGGAGTTTATAAATTGTTCCTGTGCTGAACTGATAGTTGTTTTGCAAACCATTCATTTTATTTTCAATAATAATCTTTGATTCTGGCAGGATGTTTACAGCCTGCTGTGCCTTTTATTAGAGAATTACATGAGCTTTTGGATGTTTCTTCTGTAGTTACTTCTAATTGCAGAACTCCTCTAACCTGTATTTTTGGAGTTAATAATAGTTTCAGTGTTTGCACTTTGCATATTGTCTGGATGCTCTCTTCCTATAGTCTTGTTAATTTTACCATCTGGTAGTTTCATGCTTGCAGTTTTACAGTCTCCGAGAAAGCAGACAAGGGCGCTGTGTTTTTCAGCAGTGACTGGTGAGCCGGGATGCCTCAGTTCCTGCTCTCGTGCTCTTGCCTTTCCTGAGACTGCTTAAAAGACGCCTGACTTCCAAAAAGCAGCATTTGAGGAAATCAGAAGCTCTACTGAGTATCTGAAACGGAGAGCTAAAAGAATGAGAGCTGTGAAAGTACGTGCATGCATTGGGATGGAGGCGCGAGCGTGTCGGCGGGACAGGGGCTTTGCCCGCTGCTCCCCTGCTCCTTCCCGGGTGCTCCCCCTTCACGTTTCCCCACTGCAGCTTGCGAGGAGCAGCTGAGCGTTGGATGGAGTGGGCGCACCCTGGAGAGGGGTGTCCTGGCGCTGCGGCCGGACTCGCTGCTGGCCCCGCGCGCGGCGGTTGTGTCCCCGGTGCTCCCTGCGCGGCCGGGGCAGGGCTGCTCCGCATCCCTCGCGGCTGGGCACCCAGGAGCCGCGTCTTTGAAAAGACTGACTCAGGTGACCAGCTCTGTGAAACGTGGAGCTTATTTATTCAAGTGGAAAAACCGCCTAACTGCTGCCGTGGTTCTCAAACGGCGCTGGTGCCCGTGCAGAGCAGGGCTTTGCAGCCGGGGCTGCCCTCTCGGTGGCTCCACGGTGCTGGGTGCGTGGGAGAGCGGCCACGTTTGGGGCCAGGAAGGGGCCCAAACCAAAGTGTGCAATCTGAAGCTGCTGCTCCGTGCAAGGCGAATGTCCTGAGTGCTGCCCGTGGCAGGAGGAGCGGCGCTGCGGAGCCTCCCGCGGCCGCCCCGCCGGGACCGCGCTGCGGCAGCGCCGAGGCCGCCGGCAGCTCTCCCACCACGGTGGTGTCCGCTGTGCTCCGGGCTCCGCGCGGCTCCTCCTGCCCCTCAGTGGCCACGGGAGGTGCCGGGCGCCGTGAGCCGTGCAGGAGGAGCGGGGCCGGGCGGCAGCAGGTGCCGCGGCCCCGCGGAGGTGCCGTGTCCTTGCTCCGCGCCTGGCACCGCGCTTCACATGGCCAACTGTGTAATTAGTTTGGAAGACTTATGCCTAGTCATTGGTTTATCCTAATCGGCTTTGGCTTTTCCCAACAACAAAGTGAGCTTATTTTCCTAAGCTGAAACAACTCTGCTCCCTTTGTTCCTGTCTTTTATTGTCTCATTCCTTTCATTCTGTTTTACTGCCAAAGTTTTGTTTCATTAGGCCTACAAGTCATTTCCAATCCAGTGGGCTGCTACAATAAGGCCTTTATAACTCGGCTGCCCTGGTTCCCATGTCCCTTCTGGTTTGGAGCCAGGGCTTGTTGTTTGACATGGTGTTTTAACCCTTCGGGCCCCGGGCCGCTGGTTTCTCCAAGCGGCCGGTTTGGGCTCGAGCCCTGGGGCTGGGCCGAACCGCCCCGGAGATGTGGGGCAGGGACGGCGGAGGCTGCGCGTGCGACGGGGAGTCCGGGCGCTGCTCGCGCCCCGCTGCGGCCGGCTGCGCTCTGCAGGCACCTTCTGACCCAGCTGCTGGCAGGGAATTGGGGGGTTTCCTTTGTTTTTTTTTAAACCCTTCCTGGTGAGATGCCGTAATTAGTTCCTGGGGAGGAGCGTGCTGCGTGACGAGGCCCTGCGCGTGGAGGCCGGGCGGCGAGGCCGGGCGCGCAGCGCTGCTGGAGGCAGCCTTGGGCTGCCGGGTCAGCCCGGGCGCCTCTCTGCCGCGGGGAGACTCTTGTTGGGGAGAAAACGTCACCTTTAAACCCTCTTTTGGAAAAGAATAATGCTCATACTAGGAAACATGGAATATTTCAGTGGAATATTTTACATATTGTTATTTTACAGTACTGGGAAGACGGTGTTAATCTTGGTAGCCCCACCTGTCTGGGCTGTTTTAAAAATCTTGGAGAGGGAGCGTTTGCTTGTGCTTTCCTTCACGGCAGTCCTAAAATGACTTCTGCGGGAAGAAGCTGTTTAATTTCTTCTTATTTTAACTTTTCAAATGAAATGGGAACCGAACAGTATGCATTAATTTTATTTTCTGTTCTGGCTTGCACAAGGTCTTACAGAGAAATTGTAGACGTGTTTCAACTCCGATTGGAATATACAGTTTCCTCCAGAATGACTTGTAAGAATTCAGAAACTCGAAGCAGGATTTCTGAATTACCTCCCTGGATCTGAAGTGCTTTACATGGTTGCTTGTTATTTCCTGTGAGAAGCAAAACAAGCCAGTGCAATAATAAATAACTTTTTGCTTCTGATGATGTTTTTCCTGCAAAGCTGCGGTTCGTGCTTTGGAAAGATTGCGGTTTCTTCGCGCCCTCCTCGTGCAGCGGTTGCCGTGGGCTCCTTGCAGGGGGAGCAGCCTCCCGAGCGCGTCCTTGCGTCGCGCGGGTCCCTGCGCCGGCGCAGGTGGAGCAGTTTCCATCCGTGGCAGCGTGAGAGCAGGGCGGCACTGCACATAACGACCCTTCTAACCTGCAGAAAAAAGACTTTTTGAGTAATAGACAGGGCAGTCCCCTGCTTTCGTATGTGTCTGTAACGGGAGGGCGAGGAGGAGGAGCAGGGAGCTGCGCGGAGGGTTTGAGCCAGGTCGGTGCCTTATGTACCCTGCGGCACTGGGCACAAAATGGGGCCCTGGGCCTGAGAAAGGGGCCGGGGGCAGGAGCCCTGGGGCGCAGGGCAGCCTGGCGCGCTAGCCGTGCCCGCGGCGCCCCAGGAGCGTCCGCCCGGGCGCTGGGCGCAGACGTGCGGCCGGGGCTGCAACGCGCCACGCGCCGCTTGGGCTTGGCCGGGCGCAAGGCCGGGCCTGGCTCCACCAGCCCTTAGCCCGTTTGCTAGCACAGCCTTTGGGTGCTTGCTTAGGTTTTGTGGACTGAAGGGACAGGTCTGGACTTTATTGACATCCTGGTCGGTGGTAGCCTGAGTTCTGGGAATATTTAAATACACAGTAAAACAGAGTGTGTGGCGGTTTTTAAGCTGCTCCTAGCCCCGCTGCTCCCTTCAAAAGCAATCATGAGATAGAGGCTGATATTAAATAGCCTTCGGTTCATTATATTCTTCTTTCTGTCTCAGCTACCTGGGTGTACCTTGGGAGAAGCTACTTAATTTGAATCGTTGCAACTCCTTAGGATGAGCAGGGGCTGAATGTCGTAGTTTGCAGCTTTGGATAAGCCTAGGATCAGGGAAGGCGATTTGTACGGGCTGTTCTGTTGCAATATGATGGGAAGCATTCAGTCTTTCTCACATCGCTGCCTCTGTCTTTTGCATCTGCTTCAAAGTTCCAGTATTTCTCTCCAGATTTCCCAAGCTGAATATTAAGCCCGTGATGCTCTAAAGCATTCCTTTAAATCTTCACTTGGGGTCATGGCAGAGGGATGCGGGATACAGGGGGCTCTCGTGGCCTAAAGTGTTTTTTATTATTTCTTCTCCCTCCCACGCATGCTCGTTTCTTTTTTAATAAACCAAGAAACTCGATCATTGTTTAAGAAGCCGGCGCTTTCGTTCTCTCAAGGAAAGCTTGTGCACAGGAAGTCCGTTTCGCGGTGGTCTGTAATAAGCCACATGCTTTGTGGAAGTGGTTTTGTTATGAGACGTTGGTTTCTACCTGGGTTTTATGAAAAGAGGAAATATTAAGGCAGGATTTGTGGGCAAGAAGGCTGTATCAGAACTCTGCAGAAGTTTAAAGGACTGGTTTATTTCCTTTTTTCCTCCGGTTAAGCAAAATGGCAGGAAGCTTTTGTGCAGGGCCGGGGCGTGATGAGGTGCCTGGGGGCCCTGCAGCGACTCGCAGAATTCCAGGAGCCCGGCCGAAAGCAGGGACGGACGGTATCGTGATCTGGAGACGCTGCCCCACCATCCACGGAGGAGATAATCCCGGTCCAGAACATTATTTTTGTTCTT